GGTGCAGCTGAGAATGGCATTGTTACGCAAGTGACAGCGTGGTGCAAAATTGGCTGGTCCTTTGTCACAAGTTGGTGAGAAGGACAGGGGTCGGTTGCCGCATTCCGTCACAGCCATTACCCCAATAGTCAGTGGGGGTATTTCTGATGTGAATGCAAGTGTACAATTCAAACACACATATTCCTGTGTCAAAAATGGCTGTGTGTATAAGTGGGTGCTGCAGCACCGTCGACTGGAACCAAACAGAATCAGCAAGGGAGAATGTCACCAGAATACCGAGGATCACCAATATGGGTACAAAGGTTTAATGAACGATCACATAGTTACTTTTTTAAATAGTATAATAGTGAGCGCTAGTTAAATGATAAAATATATAAATATTAAAATAGTAGAATAGAATTAATGATCCTAAAATAGCTGCTAGCACTCTGGATGTCGACAACAGTCCCAAAATCAATTTAAAAGGTAAAAGTGCAGCGCTAGAGACGCATGTAACATCAATAACATAAAGCAAAAAAGTGCAGAGAAGTGCGTCAAAAGTGTAACTATGTGCATCAATATGCGTTCGTGACAACTGTGAAAAGTACTTCAGCGGGCAGTAAAAAACTGCTAATGTCCTTTGTGGAAGGGTAATTATTCCAAGTGCCCAAGTGTAAACGTGAATTTATTCATGAAGAACAGATGTGCAGAAATTCATGAAAGGAATCCACCCTTGGGATGGATGTACACTCACCAGACAGAAAATATTAATGCACATTTGTTATTATCACACATTTGGGGGTGCAGTTGTCTACTGACAGCTCCTGATCTAATCCTGTGGCTCCATCCATCCATCCATTGGGGCAGCTCTCCTGTGATCCTATGAAGTAGAATCTCCCTTCCCCAGATCACGTTGGGGGGATTTAGTAAAACTTGAGCAGAGTCTGGAGCAGATGTACATAGTAACCAATCAGCTTCTCTGTAACATAGTTACAGCAAGGCAACGTTTCGGAGTCTCGCTTGACCCCTTCATCAGGCATGTGATCCTCGGTATGCTGGTGATATTCTCCATTTCTGACATGAGGACGCAAAGCCCTGCTCCTCTAACAAGATGGCCACCTTCACACAGACACAGTGCAGAGAAAGGCAGAGTAAGCCGGTAATGAGGAATATAACAGCTGCAGTAAGCCTACAGACAATACTAATAGCTAGTCCTTTGCCCTCAACTTGCTGTCTTTGCTTACAGCTTCCACAATTAAGATCCTCTTTAACTCTTTCACTGCCATTGATGTACAGTGAAGGAAATAAGTATTTGATCCCCTGCTGATTTTGAATGTTTTCCCACTCACAAAAAAATGATCATTCTGAAAATCAAATGGTAGGTGTATTGTAACACTGAGAGACAGAATAGCAACAAAAAATTCAAAAGAAATTTATGTCTAACAAATTATGCACTGATTTGCATGTTCATGAGGGAAATAAGTATTTGATCCTCTATCATTCAGCAGGATTTCTGGCTACCAGGTGTCTTTCATACTGGTAACAAACTGAGATTAGAAGTAGTCTCTTAAAGGGAGTGCTGCTAATCTCATTTTGTTATTTGTATAAAAAACCCCTGTCCGCAGGAGCAATCAATCATATTCCAAACTCTCCACCATGGCAAAGACCAAAGAGCTGTCCAAGGATGTCAGGGACAAGATTGTAGACCTACACAAGGCTGGACTGGGCTACCAAACTATTGCTAAGCAGCTTGATGAGAAGGTGACAACAGTTGGTGCAATCATTCGCAAATGGAAGAAAGACAAAACAACTGTCAGTCTTACTAGGTCTGGTGCACCATGCAAGATCTCACCTCATGGAGTGTCAATGATCATGAGAACAGTGAGGAATCATCCCATAACTACACATGAGGATCTTGTCAATGATCTTCAGGCAGCTGGGACCACAGTCACCAAGAAAACAATTGATAACACACTATGCCGACAAGGATTGAAATCCTGCAGTGCCTGCAAGGTCCCTCTGCTCAAGAAAGCACATGTCCAGGCCCGTCTGAAGTTTGCCACTGAACATCTGAATGATGCAGAGGAGGACTGGTTGAAAGTGTTGTGGTCAGATGAGACCAAAATCGAGCTCTTTGGCATCAACTCAACTCACCATGTTTGGAGGAGGAGGAATGCTGCCTATGACCCCAAAACACCATCCCAACTGTCAAACATGGTGGTGGAAACATTCTGCTTTGGGGGTGTTTTTCTTCTAAAGGGACATGACAACTGCACTGCATCAAAGTGACGATGGATGGGGCAATGTACCGTCAAATCTTGGGTGAGAGCCTTCTTCCCTCAGCCAGGGCATTGAAAATGGGTCATGGATGGGTGTTCCAGCGTGACAATGACCCAAAACACACGGCCAAGGCAACAAAGGAGTGGCTCAAGAGGAAGCACATTAAGGTCCTGGAGTGGCCTAGCCAGTCTCTAGACCTTAATCCAATTGAAAATCTGTGGAGGGAGCTGAAAGTTCGAGTTGCCAAACATCAGCCACCAAACCTTAATGACTTGAGAGAGGATCTGCCAAGAGGAGTGGGCCAAAATCCCTTCTGAGATGTGTGCAAACCTGGTGGCCAACTACAGGAAACGTCTGACCTCTGTGATTGCCCACAAGGAATTTGCCACCAAGTACTAAGTCATGTTTTATGAAGGGGATCAAATACTTATTTCCCGCATGAACATGCAAATCAGTGCATCATTTGTTAGACATGCATTTCTTTGGAATTTTTTGTTGCTATTCTGTCTCTTGGTGTTTAGAATACACCTACCATTCGATTTTTAGACTGATCATTTCTTTGTGAGTGGGCAAACATTCAAAATCAGCAGGGGATCAAATACTTATTTCCTTCACTGTATGTCGTAAGTTGACAGCAACGCTGGCATGTACGCAAACACCTGTCTGGTACAGCAGGAAAGGAGCTTGCTGAGCCCTATGTAGATTTTGATATTCAGAAAGTGGAACCTTACCTTGAAATTTCAGAGATCTGTGGCTCCTGGTGAATGCTGAGTAGATGAGTTAAACCTGAATGTGGTTCTTCTGAAATCAACCTGTTACTTTGCTCAGTGTAAGCTTTCACGATAAGTACAGCATACTTGTAATTATGACATGCTTACCTGTCAGGGTTCCACTCCTTCAGCCACAGCTTAGAATTCCAATCACTGCATCATTTGATGCTGCCACCATCTTCTTTGCTACTCCTTCAGATACTGCTGTTCTCCTCTCCAGTCATTGGACTGACTGAGAATGTAATGGCTAAGCATGTGAACAGGAATTACATCATCCATGACGCCCAACTCTGTTCCCGGCATGCCAGCATTGAATAGGGGTGTACACTGCACAGTGCATTCTCTTTGCAATGTATGTTTTAATTAATTTATTAACTGAGGTTTGTCTCATTTCCAAAAAAACTAGGCTCTGCAATTTTAGTTCTGCTTTAAGTCCTCGTGCACACTGGACGTTTTTACAGCTGCTGTTTTTGGCTTTTGACGTTTTTTTTTTTTCTACAGCCAGTAAACTCCCCAGCATGTTATCCTATGTGTCCATGCACATATAGACTGTAATTGACGTTTTTTGGCTGGAAAAACCCCCCAGAACTAGTGGGTTTCAAGAGGAGTTTTTTAGCTGTAAAAATGCTGAGAACGTGATGAAACGCTGTAAATCGCGGCAAACCTCTAAAAACCACAAACGCGAAAAAAAACGCAGCAAAATGCTGTTAAACGCTAATACAAAAATGCTAATACAAAAACACTAACCGCTGAAAAACTCACGTTTTTAACATGACTTTATACAGCTGACGTTACCGGCATTATTGAAACGCCCAGTGTGCATGGAGCCTAAAGAAAAAAAAAATATATGCACATATTTTTGCAGGAAAAGAAATGTGCTTTTATTATTTTTTTCCAGAGGAGTCTTCTGTAGTGCAATGTCAGGTTCCTGAAGACACATCCTCCAGCTTTGTACTCCTACTTCCATATGGGCGCTCTGTCACAAATCTGGAAGAAGTGTGAACAAATCACAAGGGAAACAGGATTTGTAGTTTTTCTTCATTCACAGATTCCTGTGAATGAAGGACATGACTGTGTGGGTGAAGCTATTTTTGAATTGTGACAGCAGGTGCAGGGAGAGGATCCCCACCTGCTATCGGGGAAGGGGGAATGGGGGTACATGAGCTGGAGCATGTTATATTCTAAATGTGGGTTTAATGTGTTACATGCTCCAAAAGGTGAACATATCCTTTAAAGTGATATTAAAATCAACGCCAAAACAAACAATACATTGCAGCTCACCTGTTCTTACATGTAAAGGCTCAGTTTGTTTTCTTTTAAGGCTTTGCTTCCTTTAATTTCACTTGCTGATCCTGCCAGTATGTTTGTTTTTTTAACAAAACAAGCTGTCCCGCAGATGTAGCTGTTAGAGGGTTGAACTAAACCATTTACCTTTTGACAGGGCTGCTTACAATGATCAGCTTGTTTTTAATTGTAATTTTTTTTTATGTAAAACCTTTTATCCCAAAAGGTACATAACTGTTTGCTGTTACTGCTTATGAAGTAATGGCTGGTGTTTGGCTTTAATTTGTTAGTGTATTATAAGTCTGTTAGTGCATCTAACACTACTCTCCCCCCCAGACTAACAATACTGTTCTCCAAACGTGTCTCTGCTGCTCCTTTATCCAGAGTGTAGGCACTCCGGATTATGAGATTTGTAATTGGCCAGATCACCAGGTGAAAAAAGATGGAGAAAAGCCTAAAAAAGGAAACTAATGTCTCCCCACATCTAATGTTTGATAAGCTACAATATATTACAGTTTGGGTTTTTGGCTTAATATCGCTTTAAGTATCAATCATCTTTCAAAAACGAATATATTATTTTTGGGTAGACCAATCTTTGCAGTATACTTGGGTAGGCTGATTCTTACAGTATACTTTAGTAAATAAAATCAAGCATATCTTTATAACCTTCTCTTTATGTTTATAATAGATTCTGGTGCGATATTTACATTTGGAAAAAGTAAATTTGCAGAGAACTGTCCCAGCAAGTTTTGGTTAAAAAACAACAAGCCTGCAAACATATCATGTGGGGATGAGCACTCCGTTTTGGTTACAGGTAAGTCAAAAAAGGAAGGTGTTCGTTCTTTTTTTTTTTTTTTTTTTCTTGTAGAAGTTGCTTGTTCCAGGACATTAATTAGCCTGGAGATTAATTTTATGGGACCTTACAGATAATCAATCATTCTAGGTCATGGCTTACAGTGGTTTATTTATAACTCTAGTGATGTGCAAATGAAAAGATGCATCAAGTTCTTTGTAAGTTCCAGAAAAAAGCAACCGTTAATCCAAACCCAATGAGTCAATAATTTCTGCCCATTTTTAAAGCCAATAAGCAAGGGACTATTAAACAATAGGCATGGGAAGTTGGGTACTGTCATGGGGGACATGTACAATGCAAAAAGCAATTTTAGGAAACACTGTTGGTCGGGGGGGGGGGGAGAGTGTTCTGCAATGTATGTGACTTTAAGGGCGACATGGGAAAAACACAAAAATGACATGCTTGCAAAATGCCTTTAAGCAATATACAATGTTGCCAAACAGTATGGTTCTCCCAAACTATGTCAGGAACACAGAATGTGTATTTCAGAGACAGCAGCCAGAAACCGTGCATACACTGGCTGCACATTATGTTAGCAGTTTCACTTGGCCTCAGTGTAAGAGGGAGAGAGGCAGGTTTTTAACATTAAAAAAAACCTACTGTGTGTTTTGTCAGAGACAAGTGCCAGAAATGTTGCAAAGGCATGCTGCACATCATGCAAGCGGTTTTACTAGGTCACAATGGAAGAGGGGAAGACAAGGCAGTTTTATTGTTAAATATAATTTAGAGTGTAATTTAGAGATAAAGGCCAGAAATATATATTCAGGTTTGTTAGAGAACATTAGTGAACAAACAGCATCATGAAGGCCAAGGAACACACCAGACAGGTCAAGGAAAAAGTTGTGGAGAAGTTTAAAGCAGGGTTGGGTTATAAAAAATATCCCAAGCTTTGAACATCTCGAGGAGCACTGTTCAATCAATCATCTGAAAATAGAGTATGGCACAGCTGCAAACCTACCAAGACATGGCCGTCCACCTAAACTGACAGCCTGGGCGGGGAGAGCATTAATCGGAGAAGCAGCCAAGGGGCCTATGGTAAATCTGGAGGAGCTGCAGAGATCCACAGCTCAGGTGGGAGAATCTGTCTACAGGACAACTATTGGTTGTGCACTCTCTAAATCTGGCTTTTATGGAAGAGTGGCAAGAAGAAAGCCATTGTTGAAAGAAAGCTATAAGAAGTCCCATTTGCAGTTTGTGAGAAGCCATGTGGAGGACACAGCAAACATGTGGAAGGTGCTCTGGTCAGATGAGACCAAAATGTAACTTTTTGGCCTAAAAGCAAAACGCTTTGGCAGAAAACTAACACTGCACATCACCCTGAACACCCCATCCCCAGTGTAAAACGTGGTGGTGGCATCATTTTGGGGGGATGCTTTTCTACAGCAGGGACAGGGAAGCTGGTCAGAGTTGATGGGAAGATGGATGGAGCCAAATACACGGCAATCTTAGAAGAAAAGTCTGCAAAAGACTTGAGACTGGGTGAAGGTTCACCTTCCAGCAGAACAACGACCCTAAACATATAGTCAGAGCTACAATGGAATGGTTTAGTCAAAGCATATTTATGCATTGGAATGGCCCAGTCAAAGTCCAGACCAGAATCTGACAGACCTTGATCTATTTTGCAAAGAAGAATGGGCAAAAATTTAACTCTAGATGTGCCCAAAAAACTTGCAGCTGTAATTGCAGCGAAAGGGGGTTCTACAAAGTATTGACTCAGGGGGGCTGAATACAAATGCACGCCACACTTTTCAGATATTTATTTGTAAATAATGCAGAAAATTTCAAGGGGTATGAATACTTTTTCAAGGCACTGTAGCTGGCACTGAAGCATTTGGATTAGAATGCCTTTTGAAAGGGACACATGGCATGCAGGTTTTCATACAAAAAAATCAACATCCAATTGAATATATGACAAAAGGAATACGTTTTGTACAGACTAGACAGACAGCATTGCAGTAGTTTGGATTAGGCACATTTCAAAACAGACACCACGCATGCAGCTATTCAGGTCAAATATATATTTTTACACCTAAAATTGGAGTAATATTGTAAAAATTGCATACCTATTATTTCTGCAATTTCTGGTAGCCCTTGTAGGCTAAACCACATCGCCATTTATCTCTTGGAGGTAAAAACAAATATAAAGTTTATATTTTTCAGATTTAGACAGATTTAATAGGTGACAACATACAGCGGGTTAAAATAAGTATTGAACACGTAACCATTTTTCTCGGTAAATATATTTCTGAAGGTGCTACTGACATGACATTTTCACCCCATGTTGGTAACAACCGATGCGATCCATACATACAAAGAAACCAAAACAAATAAGTTTAGAAATTATGTTCTGTGTAATAAAATGGAATGACATCAGAAAAAAGTGTTGAACACATAAAGGGAGGTGCAAAAAGGCATGGAAAGCCAAGACACCAGCTGAAATCTATCAGTAATTAGAAAAAAATCCTGCCCTTTGTCAGTGCAAAATAATATCAGCTGGTTCACTCTCAACTAATGGCCTATAAAAAGGTGTCTCATGTCAATAGCACCTTTAGAAATACATTTACTGAGAAAAATGGTGAAGTGTTCAATACTTATTTTAACAGCTGTATGTATTATTTCTGCAATTTCTTGTAGGCCTAATTGTCTAATCAGAATCCACATTTAGCTTTGGAGGTAAAAACTACAGTAATACAAATTAAAGTAAGTCTAAAGGCTTTAAAAAAAATGAATCAATAACAAACATGTCTATATTTACCTGCTGTGTGCAGTGGTTTTGCACAGAGCTGCCCCAATCCTCCTCTTCTTGGGTCCCCTACCTCCTGTCAGGTACTCCCACAGCAAGCATCTCTCTTCTCATTGGCTTACTGGCTGTGATTGCATGAAGGTAAAAAACCTTCAGCCTTTACAACCACTTTAACGTTTATATATTTTTATATGGGAAAACATTGGATACAGACAGCATACAACAGCTATTCAACATCCATTTAGCTTTGGAGGTAAAAAACCAAAAAAAAAAACAAGCTGAAATTTTATTTTTCTGTTGAAAAAAAATAATAGGCTTAAAACCGTGTACATAGTATTTCTACAATTTTATATCATGTGTTATTGCCTAATCCTTATTCCTATTTACCTTTGAAAGTAGAAAAAGAATACATTAGGGCCTGTTCACACCATAGAAATGCAGTCTGGATGTTTACCGGATGTGGGTTTTTTTTGCATGTTTTTGATGCTTTCTGGTTCGTTTTTGATGCGTTCCGATTAATTTTTTCCCCCTCTCTTTTTCTTCAACTTAAATAAGGACATGTACGTTCCTGTGCATTTTTGATGTGTTTAACAGCATTCCAGTACAATTCAGTGCAGAAAAAAATTCAGCATGTTCTGGCGCTATAAAGATTTTATTTTTAAAAGAGAATGAATAGGCTACAGACAGCCTATATAGTGTTTTGTACAACTTCTTGTAGGCCTCTTTGCCACATCCCCAAATAGCTTTAGATGGCTAAAAGTAATTTCCCCTCCTATTCCAATGTTGCGGGGCTTGGGAGCACCCCACCAGGGACATTTTGTTCATGGACATGGCAGATCATACCTTCAGAGATAATGGGACTTATTAGCTCAGGTTATGCCTTATCTTTCTTGAGTGTTGTAGTATGTCTGCTCAAGGCCCTAATACCCTCTCCCCTAAATGCTTTCTTCTGGTCCTTCAGCTGGCCCATCAATCACACCAGTGTCATCATTCCTTTCTTGGGAGAAATTCAGACTTTGTTAAGGCCCTAGACTGTGGGGGTCATTTACCCCTTTCAACCTCCCCTCCTGAACCAGTCCTGAGTTTGTCCTTTAGCCAGACACAGTGCAAGAGGAGGTTTCAGAGGAAGACCACTTGACTTCTGGTATTAGAACAGTAGGATATGCCTGCTACAGAATTTTCTCTAAACTTTCACGAGACTTTTGCTATTCTAGCTTCCACTTATTGGTGCACATGCTGGTTAAGCATGTTCTGTATGAAGACTGGCCTCACCAGGAAAATATTTTTTTTTCTCCCCCTAAATGTTTTGCCCAGCAATATCCTATTGAGAAAAGTTAAGACCTCCATGGCTCCTATAGAGGATAATCCTGTGTTCAAAGACCCAGTAGATAAACGTTTAGCAGTCCTCCTTAAGGCCTTCTTTTGCCTTAGCAGGCCATGCCGTACAGCCTGCAGTTGTGTCTATGGCAGTTTGTCAGACCATTGCCGTCTGGACTAAGTGTATGACCTAGAAACCCAGTTCCATTCTTACGGATCTCTCTGTCCATAGTCAACTGGATTTATTACCTTCAGTCTTATGCTACTGCATGAATGGCTTGGTGGATACACTTCACCAAATTTCCAGGGTATGTCTTCTCTCTGTACACATGCACAGGATTCTCTGACTTAAAGGCTGGTCAGCAAGACTCCCTTGCTGAAACTGCTTAGGTGGTTACCTTTTGCTGTTTGGTTTCTACTTGAATTAGAATCGCTAAGAGATGTTGTGGGTAATAGTACTCTCCTTCTCTAGAAGAAAAAGGCCTGCACCTCTACCAGCAGGTCTTCTACTCCAGTGGTTAGGAAGGCTTTCTGTTAAGCCTAAGATAGGAGCATAATTTTGTAAAAAGACATGGCCTCCCATATTACCCAAGGCTGGTCTCAAGGTCTTCTCACAGTGATGGGGTGCCCCTACTTCTGAAAGTGGGGAGACATTTGGCAGACTTCTAGTTTTAGAATAGTTCAGACACCTGGGTTCAGAGTGTTGTTTCCAGAGGCTATAAATTGGAATTTCGCACTCTGCCTCATCCCCTCTTCATGCCCTCAAACCTATCTCCATCCCCATCATGCTGCATGGATCTGCTTGCTGTTGTCTTAAGAGATTTTGGATTAAGATATTATTACACCTGTACCAACAAGAAAATACTTTCAAAGTTTCCTCCCGAACCTCTTTACAGTTCCC